GCTCAAAAAGGGGGCAGCGCGGGGCTCCACCCTGCGGGGTCGCTCCGGGGTAATAAGGGCACAGGAAGACCACCTGACCTCACCGCAGGAGGGGGACCTGGAGCGAACCAGCGACCAGTGCCAGCCTCTCGGCTGCTCAGGGCACAGGCCGGGCCAGCTTTCCCACGCTCTGGGATAATGAGAAGCTTCTGGTGGGGGTCCGGGGGGGGGCTACAGGGACCCGAGCCTCTGTTCCTGGCTGCAACTTGCCACTACAGCGACAGGCGAGGCTGTGAGCAAGCACACGGCTTCCCCAAGCCTGTTTCCAATTTGAGACCGGATACGTCAGGCAGTGCATTACCGGGGAAGGAATTAGCCAATTGCTTTACCAGGAAGCAACCCGCCCTTGATGCCAAAGATCTAGCTATTCCAGCCAACAGGTTCCGCAAGAGTGTGACCTCGCGGCTCTCCAGGCTCCAGATTGCATACGACGTACAGCAGCCCCCACCAGCCCACAGGAGAGCAGGAGCCCCCCATGGTGCTCTAGAATGAGGAAGCCAGTGACCGGTAGAGTGGGTCGGCAATCGAATTACTCCTTGGGGGGAGTTGAGTCAACTAACCCGATTTGCCTGCCATTTGTTTCACTGCCACTTTGTAGCGGTAAACCCAACCCACCCTGGTACAGCACCACGCATAAACCAGGCTGTTGTGATGCCACAAGGTGCGTCAGCACCCACGGCTGTGCGCTTGCGAAGCTTTGCTCTCCTGGTGGGTTTTGGAAGCCTGGGTAGAACTAAAATTAAGTGCAGTCCAAGCCGAGCAGGAGACATGACTGAGACAGCAGGAGGTAGTTAAATGTATTAAATTGAAGACAAGCCTGCATTTCTGACTACTGTGTCTAACGGGCGACGGCCGGGGAGAAGTTAAAAGATCAGAGAGCTGCAAACAGCCAATCATGTAATGACTGTAAAACAGGAACCATCATCACTGAATGTGCTGCGAGAGACTCCAGGGCAGGGAAGTGCTGTACCAAAGAGACAGGCCTGCCAGTTTTAAAAGGAAGTCACTACTCCGGGCAGCTTAAGGCACAGAACAGTTCTCACTGCACCCAATTAAGCCAAAACAAATTCTGCTCCATTGTTAATATTTGGGGTGGAATCAAAGCAGGGCGACTCTAGGAGCAAGGATCACAGCTGTGGAACAGATTCTGCAGACCAGAACAAACCTTCATTTCATCTCAATTCCAATGCACCAAGAGCACGCGAGTTTTAAAGCAGCCAAGTTATGCTTTCTCTGCAACTCCAGTCCGCACAGAGTCACCACTGCCATTCCTTGCAATCAGTTCTCACCTGTAACATGCTACATCTCGACTCTGAGCGACTCGGTAAAGAGAGCTCCAGGAGCTTGGATATCGTTTGTGCACACAGATCCAGCATTCCATGAACCTGCTGGACTGGTTTGACAGAACAGGAAGTGAATTACGGCAATAAGGGAGAAAAAATAAACAGCGATCAGGATTCAACAAAAAGGCAGGG